GGCGGCGACGGGGCCGCGTAGGGGCGGCTACGAGGCCGCGTAGGGGCGGCGACGGGGCCGCGTAGGGAGGGAGGCGGCGACGGGGCCGCTAGGGGCGGCGACGGGGCCGCTAGGGGCGGCGACGGGGCCGCGTAGGGGCGGCGACGGGGCCGCGTAGGGAGGGGAGCGGCGACGGGGCCGCTAGGGGCGGCGACGGGGCCGCGTAAGGGCGGCGACGGGGCCGCGTAGGGGCGGCTACGGGGCCGCGTAGGGAGGGGAGCGGCGACGGGGCCGCTAGGGGCGGCGACGGGGCCGCTAGGGGCGGCAACGGGGCCGCGTAGGGGCGGCGACGGGGCCGCGTAGGGAGGGGAGCGGCTACGGGGCCGCTAGGGGCGGCGACGGGGCCGCGTAGGGGCGGCGACGGGGCCGCTAGGGGCGGCGACGGGGCCGCGTAGGGGCGGCAACGGGGCCGCGTAGGGAGGGAGGCGGCAACGGGGCCGCTAAGGGCGGCGACAGGGCCGCTAGGGGCGGCTACGGGGCCGCGTAGGGGCGGCAATGGGGCCGCTAGGGGCCGCAAGGGGCCTGGAAGGGCGGCAACGGGGCCGCTAGGGGCGGCGACGGGGCCGCTAAGGGTGGCGCGAGGGGCCGTGAGAGGGGCCTCTAAGAGAGCTCGACAGAAGGGCGGCCCACAAGGCGCGCCTCGGGCAGGAGCGACTGTCGCTCCGGTCAGAAAAAAAAAAGGTTTCAGTGGTGGGCCCAAGGAAGCGTTCCCACTAGGGAACCTGCTCTATACCATGTGAAGAAATGAGGAATGAATTGACTAAGGGAAAGTTGGGTACAAAAGCAAACCCTAGAAAACTGTACCCCATATGTGCTACCCCACTATAGCCTACAGTAGCTATGTCATATAAATCTGACACTCTACAGCGCCAGTTCAGACTGACACAGCCCGAGCTCGACGAACTCCGGAAGCAGTTAGATTATCTGTTAGAGAAGCAATTTATCCGGCCAAATTCGTCACCGTTCGCCGCACCGATATTGTTCACGCCGAAAAAAGACGGAGGGTTTCGCATGTGCATCGATTACAGAGCACTGAACAGGGTAACAGTAAAGTCGCGATACCCCATTCCTCGCGCCGACGAGCTGATAGACCAACTGCGAACGGCACGGGTGTTCTCGAAAATTGACCTACGGGGGGGTTACCATCAGATTAGAGTCGAACCATCGGACTGCGCCAAAACAGCTTTCCGGACTAGGTACGGGTCGTTCGAGTACACCGTGATGCCTTTCGGGCTGACCAATGTCCCGGCGACATTTCAGATGACCATGAATGAGGCGTTTAGGCCACTTTTAGATAAATGCGTGATAGTTTACCTCGACGACATCCTCGTCTACAGTCGCGACACGCAGCAGCACTTAGCGGATCTCGAAGCAGTGTTTAAGATTTTAGAGGAGCATCATCGGTTACTGACCAAGGGTTCTAAGTGCGAGTTTTTTCGGGACAGGCTAGAGTTTTTGGGGCACGTTATTTCGGAGGCTGGGGTTGAGATTGACCCGAAGAAGCTGGACACGGTCAAAGCCTTGCACCCCCCGACAAACCTCACGGAGCTGCAGAGTTTTTTGGGGTTCGTTAATTACGTCCGTCGGTTCGTCCCTGACATGGCCCGCTTAACAGCCCCACTCACGGATTTGCTGCGGAATGGGGTCGTTTTTACGTGGGGGGAGAAAGAGCATGCTGCCTTCTCTGCCCTGAAAAATGTTCTCTGTTCACCACCCGTCCTGCGCATCGCCAACCCACACCGCCCATTCGAAGTCGTTACCGACGCAAGCGACATCGCCATCTGAGCCGTCCTGCTACAGGACTTCGGCAACGGCCTACAGCCCATCGCATACGAGTTACGGAAACTGCACCCGCCCGAGAAACACTACCCGATACATGACCGCGAAATGCTCGCGATCGTGCATGCGTTCAAAGTGTGGCGCTGTTACTTGACCGGCGCAGACGTGACAGTACGGACAGACCATAAATCACTACAGTACCTCTGTGCACAGCCCCACCTCAACCCACGACAGATTCGTTGGCTCGATTTCCTCGAGTCCAATTTTCACTACACGGTCACCTACAAAAAGGGGGCCTCGAACATCGCCGACGCACTGACCCGCCCCGCTGCCCATATCCATGCAATACTACTCGCCCAGACCAGCCCACTACTGACAGGCCTATTTACCCACGGGTACCAAACAGACCCATTCTTCACAGGAGGAAATTCGCAGCAGTTCGCAGCAGCAAGGGGAGTCTATTACGTAAAAGCCGGGACCGACCGCATCTGGGTGCCCGGGTACACACTGCTACGGGAATTACTTTTACAGGAGGCACACGACGGAGTTACCTCGAGACATTTCGGGGTAGAAAAAACACGGCAGCAGCTGCAGCGGTATTATTACTGGCCCGATATGTTGACCGACGTACAGCGACACGTGGCATCGCGTCCCACTTGCCAGCTCATGAAATCATCACGAAAGCGGCCGGCAGGACAGTTGCAGTCGATACCACCCCCAGAGCGTGCTTGGCAGCAGATGACGATGGACTTCGTCACGGGGTTACCGGCCGGGGCGAGTGGGAACGACGCGTGCCCGTCGTCGTCGATCGACTGACGAAAATGGCACATTTCGCAGCCTGCAAGAAATCGATCACAGCCGAAGAAACAGCCCGCCTCTTCATCGCCACCGTCGTACGACTGCACGGGATACCAGCAGCGATCATCAGCGACCGAGACACGAAATTCACCAGCAACTTCTGGCGGAACCTGTGGCAGCAGTTTGGCACGAAACTACAGTTCAGCTCTTCGTACCACCCCAAAACCCACGGACAGACAGAACAGACAAATCAGACTATGGAACAACTCATCCGAGCCACGTGCGACGACCCGACCACCTGGGAACAGCAACTGCCACTCATCGAGTTCGCGTACAACAACTCACCTTCCGCCACGACCCAACAGTCACCATTTTACTTGAACTACGGACAAGACCCGACAGCACCCATGACCCCGAATCCCGACAACCCAGTGCCACGAGCACAACAGTTCGCCGAAATTTTACAAGTAGCACGGACCCGGGCAGCCGACGCAATAAAAAAATCCAACATCATCGCTAAGCGTGATGCCGATCGCCACCGCAGACCTATCACTTACCAGCCCGACGACCTAGTTTTACTTGACACCCAGAACCTCCGCCTGCCCATCACCCCAAAACTCCGCCCCCGATACTGTGGACCATTTCGCATCAGCCACATGATCACACCCGTCACCGCCCACCTCCTCTTCCCCGCTGACTGGTACGTCAGTCCCTTATTCCACGTCAGCCTGCTTCGCCCCTACGTCCCGTGCACAAGCCAACTCCCACGTAATCGCCCAGCCAGCATGACACGACCGCCGACTGAACCAATCATCACCCCCGAGAAGATTCTGAGTCACAGAGTTCGCGACCCTCGAGGAGCCCGAAGGATCGAGTTCCTGATCCGCTGGAAAGACCGTACACCCACCGAAGACAACTGGGTTCCCCTGGACAGAATCGAAAACCACCCCGTCCTCACCGAGTATCTGCGCAGCCGAAACTTCAGGGATGTACACGCACTTTCGTAAGGAGGACCTCCTTAGGGGGGGGAGGGGTAGTGTAAGGAAAATTCATTTTCCTTACTTCGCGTCCCCGCTCAGCGCGTACACCACTGTAGCACCACAGTCAGCACCGTTACCACTCGCAACTCTCGCATCGACAATCCTCCCGCCACCTTCGCACGTCGCACCCCGACCTCACGGCTCGGCGGGTAACCCGCGCTCCGGGCCTCCGCTTCGACATTTTCCCCAACCTCAATCCCAGGCCCGTCGCGCGACAACCGCAGTCCATTACCGTTACCACTGTAGTTTCGCTATATATCTTCGCTCATGCCTTCGCTCATTGTACTTTTTGCTTCGATAGTGCAATTCTCGTTCCCTCACTCAATTGCACTCGTAACAGAGGCGAACCCTCACGACACGACGCTATACGATAGCAGTAATGCCTGTTACATTTTGAAACGCAATTCAAAAATTTGGGGGGTTTCCAAAAAGTTCCACATTTGTGGTCCGGGCGGGCGGTCGTCCGGACCTGAGTCCCAAACGTCCGGACGGAGCTCTGTTCGGACGTTTTGGGGGCTCCGTCCGGCCATTTGATGAAAACGGAAAAAGTTCCATGGGGTACGAAGCAGACCGCGTCGCGAAGACCAATCAGCGCAAGGGGGTGAGTGGGGACGGAGAAGCCATGTGCGCCATGGAGAATGGCAGAGCCAGAAGCTCCATAATGTGTTTGGGCTGATTCACGTACCGCCGTCCTCCCTCTCGTCACGGCGAGCTCCGCCGCGCGCCGATTGGGCGTAGCGAGCAGCCGCGTGAAAGACGCCGCAGGTCCCGGGCGTCTCCCGCAACTCGTGGTGTTCGGAGCCGCGCGGTGTTCTACGACCGGGTTGGTATGTGAGCAGCTATTGTTACTGACAGGCATCAATCGCCGCCATGCGCGCCGCTGCCGGCGGCGCTTCCTTCTGCCGCGCGTATTGCCATCCCCTTTTCCGCCGGCAGTCCGCTGCGACTCCGCTCTCCGCCCCGCGCGCTTGCCGCTTTTCCGCCGGAGTCGCGGCTCTGATTAGTAGCAGCCGCGCCTCCTTGCCGTCTGTCCGCTTCGCTCGTAGCTGCAGCTGCTGCCGCTGCTGCTGTAGCGCCGCTCTTGTCGCGGCGAGGCGATCGCGCCTGCACGCGGAAAGGTGCGCCGCTGGTGCGCGGGGGGACGCGGATCCAAGAATTCCAGTCCTCGCGCGCACGGGGGAGAAATCAGGTCTCTGGGTGTGGCGGGAAGGTGACGGCGGAAGCGCGCTGTTGGGGGGGAAGCAGCGGAGCCATTGGCGCGGGGAGACCGGGGGAAGGCGGGAGGTGATGACGGGTTGCAGAGGGGCAAACGAGGGACGGCGGGGTGAAGGAGGGTGTGCTGGAATGGCGGAGTGTAGTGGCGGATCTGGGCAGGTTGTGGGAGTGAAGGGAGGGGATAGAACAGAAGAGGCAGAGAGGGATATGGAGGAGGAGGAGGAGGAGGAGGGAGTTGCGATGGTGATTATTGGTGCCGGTCGGATAGGCCAGGCTTTCATGCAAATGGCTCCACCTAATAGGTCAGACAGTCAGGCTTTCTCACAAAATTACCTCCTCGATCTCCCACACTCCTTCTCTTCGATTTTATTCGTCGGCTCTCTCCCCCCTGTCCCCCCTGCTCCCATCATCTCCCTTCCCTCACACCATCCTCTCCTCACTCCTTCTCAACCTTCCCACCTCACCTCATTCACTGCCCAGCCATCACCAACTATCATCGCCTGTCCTCTACCTCACATCCTTCCTGCCCCACCCCACCTCTCACTCCTCCCTCGACTTAATACACCGCTCGTCACCCCCTCGCTCCATTGCTTCCCCACTGCTCCACTCCACCACTGCTCGCCTCAGCTCCAATACCTTCCCTGCCGGCCCCTCGCCCTCTCACCCCGCTCTAACTCCAGTTGAACACCCACCACTGTTGTGTGCCACGTTCTTTCTCCTGCTAACCAATCTCCCCTCTTGCAACCCCCACTCCCCCCCCCTCCCCCTCCCATCCTCCCCCCTCCCACCCTCCCTCCCCCTGCTACTTCCCACTCCCCCCTCCCGCCAGCGCACTGTTCCTGCCACGTGGCATGCCCCTCTCATCCCTGGTCCAGCTGTCGCCGCGCCATTCGCAGGGGCCAATCGTGGTGGCGACGCACGACTGCCACCTGGACGATGTGCTGGTGCAGGTACGACGTCACTCCGTATAGCCCGGGGGGGGGGGGGGGGGGGGGGGAGGAGCATGAGGGTGAGTTCAGGGTGGGGTGAGGTACGGTTCACAGGGGTGGGGTGGGGTGGGGTGGGGTGGGGTGGGGTGGGGTGTGGGTCGACATTCTCGCCCGTGTTAGCTCTATGAACCAGCGCAGCGCTTACATGCACGCCCCAGATCTGTCTAATTCCCCCCCCCCGCAGGTCCCCCCTGCGCGGCACAGCGACCTGGTGCTGGTGCAGAACGGCATGCTGGACGGCTGGCTGGCAGCGCACGGCCTCTCCCACGCCGTCACGCGCCTGCTGCTCTACATGGCCGCCTCTCAGCCTCAAGGGGACGCTGCTGGGGGGAACGCTGCTGGGGGGGACGCTGCTGGGGGGAACGCTGCTGGGGGGAACGCTGCTGAGGGGAACGCTGCTGGGATGGACGCTGCTGGGGGGAACGCTGCTGGGATGGACGCTGCTGGGGGGAACGCTGCTGGGATGGACGCTGCTGGGGGGGAGAAAGTGGATGAAAGGGCATTGTGTGTGAGCTGTCCATGCGAGCAGCAACACGGGAACGAGGAGACGGGAGGAGTGGTGTGGGAGGCGCCGTCGCTGTCCCAGTCACACCTGCCTGAGTGCTTCACGTCATCCCCTCGCTACCCCCACGGCGTGCGCATCATGGACGGTGGGGGGCGGTCCGTTGCCAGTGGCAGGTGAGGTGCGCCGCTGCTGCTGCTGCTGCCGCCGCCGCCGCCGCTGCTGCTTGAGTTACACTGTGTGAGGGATGCGTACGTGGGTGGGTGGGCCGCTGCGGTGACTCCAGAGCGCCTGAGTCAAGTCAGGAGTCACCTGCCACCGTCTGCCTGTGCTCGCACCGTCTGCCTGTGCTCGCACCGTCTGCCTGTGCTCGCACCGTCTGCCTGTGCTCGCACCGTCTGCCTGTGCTCGCACCGTCTGCCTGTGCTCGCACCGTCTGCCTGTGCTCGCACCGTCTGCCTGCGTGTGCGCATGTGGCATGTGTGAAGGCGTGGCGTGCTGGTGGGAGCGCGGCTGTGGTAACTCAAGAATTGAGTCATGTGTGATGGAGTAAAGTCAGGAATCACCTGTGCCTGCCTGCCACTCCCTGCCATTTGCCCCCCCTTCTGCTGCTCCCACACACTACCCGTATTATCCTCCCCTCGATCTCTCAACCGCTGTTCTTACCACCCCGCCCGTCCCACTCCCCCTTTTCCCCACCGCCCTTAAACACACTCTTCCCACTCCATTGTACTCCCCACCCCCCCCCCCCTTCCCCCACAGCTGCGTTCCTTCATCTCTTTTGAGGCATCTCAAAAACCCTTTCCGAACCCTCTCCCTCCTTCCCCACAGGTGGGCGCCACTGATAGCGCGTCTCCTCTCCGCCTCAGCAGTCCCCTGCTCGCCCGACGCCCCCAGCACCTTCTGGGAGCTAGCCGGAGAGACGCTGCTGTGGAGCTGCACCTTCTGGCTGCTCTGCGCCTCCGCACCCTCTCCCAACTCCACCACTCCACTCCACTCCACTCCACTCCACTCCACTCCACTCCACTCCACTCCCCGCCCCGCCCCTCTCGCCCGCTGTTGCGCCCCAGCCAAAGCGCATCTCTTTCCAGACACCTCAAAGACTCTCCCCAAACCCAAACCCTCTCCCCCTTTCCCTCACAGGTGGGCGCCACTGATAGCGCGTCTCCTCTCCGCCTCAGCAGTCCCCTGCACGGTCGTTCCCCACAGCACCTTCCGGGGACGAGCAGGGGAGAAACTACTCTGGAGCTGCATCTTCTGGCTGCTCTGTGCCGCCAGGGGCGGGGCTACACTGGGGAGATGGTATCTGCGGACAGGGGGACGGTGAGGGCGCTTGTGGGGGAGCTGTGGCCGCTGCTGGTGACGTTCTGGGGGGAGGGGGGGAGTGAGGAGGGGGAAAGGAAGGGCGAGGGCATTGTGGGAGGTGCGAGGGAGGTAGGAGAGGAAACGAGGGAGGCCACGGGGAGCAGGGAGAAAGGGGAGAGGGATGAGGGGAAGGGAGAGGAGGAGCGAGATGAGGAGGGAGAGTACGAGGCGATGTGTGAGCGGCTGTGCGCATACTCCATGGCTATCCCCACAGTGGTGCCCAGCATGCCCATGGCTCTAGCCGAGTTCCCCTGGCGCAATGGCTGGTTCTTGCGCTCCTGTTCCCCCACGCCCACACACACCCGCCTGCTCGCCTCGCTGCTGCCCGTATACCCGGATTGCCGTGATGTCATTCTGCCGTACCTCCCAGCTGAAGAGGCAAGCACGTGAGTCCACGCGTAAGAGAATTTGTTCAGAAGCTCGCCTCGCCTGCTGGTACGCACTCCCGCCTGCTCGCCTCGCTCGCTGCTACCCCTGTACCCGCATTGCCTCGACGTCATTTTGCCATACCTACCAGACGGAGAGGCAGGCCGGTGACTTGAGACATAAGAGAAGGCTGTTGAAAAGCCCACCCGCTCCCGCCTACTCGCCTGCTCGCCTCGTTGTTGCCCTTGTACGCGCATTGCCGTGATGTCATTCTGCTGTACATACCAAGGTTATTCTTTTGGTCGACTCTCAAAAGTCACCAGCAGGAGAGGCAGGCCGGTGACATATGAGACGGCTCAAAAACAGGTGACCCTCAACACGAGAAAAGACTCTTCAAAAGCCCGTGCACCACCCCCTGCTCTCCTCGTTGCTGCCCTTGTGCCGGCATGGTCGTGGGATTACTCACTCCACTGTGGCTTTCAAGTCTGCCGTACCAGCAGGTGTGTGCTGTGCAGCTGATGGGGATAGCAGGTGCATGGCACAAGTAGTGCTCTCTATCGGAGAGCATGATGGTCGCACGAGGGAAGAATTCATGTCGCGACTAGGGATGGGGATGGGGGGAAGTATGTAGGCTGGGGAGGGGAAGGGGGCTGCATATGGGGTGGGAGATGGGGTTGTGCATGGCAGGTGGTGGGTGTGGTGGTGCTAAAGAATGCAAGGACTCGGTGCGTGTGATGTGACACATCCTCCCCTATGTCAAGCTTCATGGCTGCAGCAGCACTGAGATGGACAGATGGCTGCTTGCTGTGCAGTGATGAAGTTGGAACACACGCAGGCGGACAGGCATGACTCACATGGCCCGGTTATTACATGGGGGTGTTGCTAGTTTGCCCTCCCATGTGGAAGTGAGTAGAAGCCAACTTTCTGTAAATATGATATCGTAACCAACCAGTACGCAGATGCAAATTTGAGCAGAGTTGAACCATGCCATGCCATGCCATTTAGTTCTGGGAAGGCACAAGGCGAGTTGCGGAAACGAGAATGCCTCTACTTATCAAGAGGTTATTATTAACGGGTACCAGGCGTAGAAATTGGGAACGTAACCTCTTTGTTTTCTGCTTGCTAAGGCTAAAGATCGATTGCTGTAGTGACGAACCTAATAGACACTAGTGTCTCCGCAAATTGACACGTGGCAGAGTTTCTCGCCCAAGCCGCGTCTTCCCAATCATGCGGGTTCTCCTCCCCCGTCCAGCCTCGCATGCTCACGAGACTCGCGTCGCGGCGCCCCATCATGCCCTCGTCGTTGCTCACGTCGCTCCCAGGCGTCGCATCGTCGCAAGACTCGCAACGCAACCCTCTTCGTAACAAGCTCGTCGTCAGCATGCCGCAACAGTCCTCCTCGTCCTTGGCGACGCGTCCTCGCAGTCCCTCCCTGCTTCCACGGGCGCGGCGTCGCGGCTCGCAGCGTCGCAACGTTTGATAGACCTCGCGAGTAGTAATAACACATCCCACTCATAACGTCCTCATGGCCTGTGCATTACCCCGAGATATCCTAGGACGCGCGTATCACACCGCTACTATTGCCGCCACTGGCGCTACTGATACGGCTGGCACCGTGTCCGCTGCTCTCTTCACCGGACTGCACCGCGGAGCTGCGGGGTGGAACCGTGGCGTGACTCGCGTCTGGGCTGCTGCCTTGCACGGGCGTACGAGAGACCGAAGAGGAGGCAGTTTCTACCACCACCCTGTGAGTACTGCGCTCTGCGTTCAGCGAGGGCGTGCGAGTCGTTCCTCTTCGCTCTCTGTGCTCTCTTCGCCCTCCTCATTTAACTTCGCTTTTTCTTCCAGAAACACTCAAGAGACTGAAGCAGATTGTTTTCCTTCTTTCTTTCTGTCCTTTCTTTTCCTTCACGTTTGTTATTTCCCTTGTAACAAAAAGAGGTAGGTACACCCATGTGGCGAAGCTTGCGCCTGTCTCACACAGACGGACCGCGGTGCTTGCAATTGCAGGTCCGAGCTATGGCCAGCCTTCAACGAACCTTCGCTGAAGCAGCCTCCCAAGGGAAGCACAAGGAGCCCGCGAAACATGACGTCAGCGGCGAGAGCGGGGAGGCCGCCAGGCAGGCGCAAGGGGAGCAGATGAGCGGCGCGGGGGAAGAAACGCGCGCGGAGGGGTCGGAGGAGGTGCGCGCGGAACAGGCGGAGGCGTACGAGAAGGATATGGACGACTACGGGTCGGCATACGCGACGCGGTCGTCGGACGAGGGATTCGGGCAGATCTACGGGGAACCCGTGACGCACTTTGGCGTGCGTGGCAGGTAAGCTCGCGATCTCCGCGAAACCCGGTGCAGTCTATCGGTGCAGTGCTCTTGAGAGCGTGTGTGCGCGCGTAAGCTCGAGACTGACTTACCTCTTCCGTATGTCGTGCGTGCGCGTGCGCGTGTACTTGTGATGTGTTTGCGCCTTTGCTCCGCGTATGCTGCGCGTGCGCGTGTTCCAGAGTGGGCAATGCGCCGGCGGCGTGGACGGAGGAGGAATCGAAGCTGGATCGTACGAGCGAGCCAGCAGGGCGAGAGGAGTATGACAGGAGTCAGGGCGCGTCTGTGGGGCAGACGGAGGAGGGGTGGCACGCCATTCGTGAGAAAGCGATGACGCAGGAAGTTGAGGGCGGTAGTCAGGGGTTCAAGAGTTGAAGATGCGGTTTAGTGCGGTTGGAGTGGGAGTTGTCTGGCGAGGGGACCTGTGATTGAGAATTCTAGGTGGTGGTAGTGGATTTCGAGGTGTGGCTGTTAGATAGGTAATGTGTACATGCTGTACATAGTCAATACTCCCGTGCCTTACCATACCTTTCAAGAGGTAGTCAGGGAAATTACATTTACCATACGATAATACTCCTCCCTACCCAGTTCTAGAGTTCAATTCATCCACAAGTCATTCTATGAGCTTCTTCGTCTGTGTTACTACTGCAGCAGTTGGACTACCAGTTAGGTGCGGGTAGGAGTGGAAATTGTGTCTAATAATGAGATGTACTGTTATCCTGCAGTCTTACCCTACAGTGGAAATTGATTACATTATAATTATACATTGCAGTCAGTCTTATCCTACTGTAATTTAATCTCCAGTTGCATTATGTTAAACAAAACAACTCCCCACCAAAGAGTACAAATCAAGGTACACTTCACAATCACAGCACCTCACCTCACCACCCACTCTTAACACCCACCACTCCTAACCACCCTCTCTTCACCCTCCTCTCTCCACCACCCCCTCCTCACCTCACCACCCCCACGACCCTGGCCCGCCTTTGAATGGCCCCACAATGTCCTTGGTCACCCACCCGCCATAGAACCCCCCTGGCTGTGGCTCTGCGAGTTCACCACCCACACGGCAGGCGTCCATAGGCGCGCAGTAGAAGGCCAGGTGCGATGTTATGGGCTGGAAGAGGGGCGTGGGGCGCTCGTAGCTCCATGCACAGCGCGGCAGATGCTTGGACGCCTGTGGTGGTGCATTGTGGGGATGGTGGGAAGGCGGACGGGAGGGCGGAGAGGAGGGGGGAGAAAGGGGGGGGGGAGAGATGGGGGGGGTTGAGCAGAGCGGTGGGGATGCAGGCAACAGGGTGGGATATAGAGAGGCAGGCAGCAGGGTGGGAGGGATAGAAAGACAGGGTTCGATAGCCGTATGGTTGATCAGAATAGTGAAACAATCAATCCCGTGCACATGTGGGGAACACAATTGGAGAAGAGAGAAAGAAACATCAAAGCAAGAAACAGGTGGAAGAAAGCTTGACTTGAGAAAAAAAGGATGCGAGACAGACAGCCGATACACATCTGCTTATTTATGGGTGCGCTCTAACTCTGCAACCCTGCTATCCTGCAACCTGAGGTGGGTAGGTGCGTAACGGGCAATACAATGCTCTGACCTGGGGAATGGTGACGGTCCAGTATGTGGCTGCGCCCTTCCACTCGCAGAAGGACGACGCTGCGTCCTCCCGCTGCACGTACTGCATCTGAATGTCCTCCTGTGGGGGCAGCGGGCGAGAGGGATGAGGCCGCGGAGAAGCACGGCGGAGGGGAGGTGAGGGGGAGTGAGACGCGCAGCTAAGCAGAGAGATGCTGAAGCGGGAGAAAGATGAAAGGAAGGGAGGAGAGAGGTGAACAAGGGGGAGGAGAGGGATTTGAGAGAGGCGGGAGATTTCGGCAAGAGGTGGGAGATTTGGACGGGAGGTGAGAGATTTGGGCGGGAGGTGAGAGATTTGGGCGGAAAGCTGATGAAAGACAGCAAGAGCGTTTGACCTGAGGGATGTAGTACACCGGGGGGTGACTCGTCTCCAGCACGCGCCATGCATTCTCACTGTCCGCCAGCATCACGCCGCCCACCTCCACCTGCACGCGCTTCCCCACGCGCTCCACGCGCGGCGGGCGCGGGTAGTCCCACACCGACTCCTGCCCCGGCCCGGGGGGAACGCGCGCGCGGTACCCCGGGTGGTTGGCGTTCGGATTCATTGCCGCGGACAGGCGGAGTGAACGAGACGCGGAGGGCGCGGATGCGGAGGGATGAGCGTGGGGAGGAGAGTGAAGGAGGTGTGTGGGATTGGAGAAGGGGGAGGAGTAGGAGGAGGCGAGGGGAAGCGGAGGTTGCGCGAGTGGAGAGCTGGTAGTGAGGGGAGAAGTACGGAGGAGGGCAGGTGTGCGCTGTGGTCGTGTGGTGGAGGCGGTGGTGAAGAGGGGCAGCAGCAGCGGCAGCGGACGGGCGGAGCAGGTGGCGGCGACCATTGCTTTGGCACGCACGAGGACTCCGAGTGTGCGCACGAGGACGAGAATGAGGACGAGGAAGAGCAAGAGGATGAGGCTGACCGTGCGCTCGTGCCTTGGTGCTGCTCGTTGCGCCGTAATACGCCCCGAATTTTCACTACTCCCCCTCCCTCTCCCCCTACTCCCGCTCTTCTGCAACGGGGATCCCACTTGTTCCGTCTACGACTGCCCTGAGGCTGCTCCCCCTGCTCCGTCCACGGCGGAGCGCAGAAGAAGAATCGGGCATGCGACAGATCGGAGGGGCGATGGCGACACAAACGGGAGGGAGGGAGGGCACGGGAGGGTGAGAGTAGGAAGGAAAAAGAACTCTCGGGATTCTACTGATGCCTGACAGCGAGCTGTGCAGCGCGAGAGCAGTGTATAGTTGATCCGAAATCACACACAAGTTAAATGAATATAGGATGCCTGATTTTACTTACCTTGCCAAGTAAGCTGTCGAAAAGTAGAGTAGGCAAAGCGAGGCGCGTTGTGTGATGTGGTGTCGGGGGAATAACAATAATGGTGAATTCGCGAGCAGCTGGAAATTGAAGGATGGTCAGGGAGGGAGGGGGTGGAGGCACGCTTGGGGAGGGGAGTCAAGGTTGAAAACGATGTGTGCTAGCGAATTTCGACGACATCACCCAGCCTGGTTTCCTGGTTTCCTAACGTCAATCGCGACACGTTTCTTGATGAGTGACGTGGCCATTTACAAGCTCGACCACGTGGTTGGCCGTCCATCTGTCCCCTGCCCTATCGCAAATAACGAAAACCCGCGATTGTAAGGATTTACAAATCCTTACTGAGGCACTCGTTAGCGAGGACATCCCGAGGGTCTTGCCTACCTCGTCGGCCGAACCACTCCCGAGTCGGCCTCCGCTCCAATCGCAACCATCACCGAGCCATCCTTTCCCGACCTCCCCGCCTAGCTAGCTCTCCCCTATTTCCATTGTATCGTCCTTCTGTAATTTCCATTCTCGTTATTCGATATTCTGCGCACTCTGCAAGTTCATTCATAACAGCGATGCTATTCAAGACTGTAATGTCGTTACACGCTACACCTCACTTTGTATGGGAAATTTAGATCTATTGTTTTCTTCCATCCCCCTACCGTATTTCTTTTCTGTTTGGATTCAATCCCCCAAACTTCTCCGCCATGTCTCGCTTCCCCGTCTGCACGTGCCTCCCCTTCGTCCTCTCTTCCGCTGCGCGCATCCTGGTGCCAATCGCGCGCTCGGCGGAGCGGCAGCTTAACGCGGTGCTGGCGGACGTGCTGCTGCCGGGGCCGCTCGGCATCGTCGTGCACCGCTTCTCGCGCTACGAGCGCGCCGTCGCTTCCGCCGACCTCGCCAAGGCGGAGGCTGCGGCTGCGTCTGCGGATGCGCGCGTGACAGCGGAACGATGGCCGCGGCATGCGCGGTAATCCTCTTCCCGCCCGATCAGCTTTCCCCTCCACCATTGGCGCTGCCTCGGTCCATAAGAAGCCATGTCCGTGCAAGAGCATTGAAGCGGGCGTTGTGGAGCTCGCGGGCTCACGACGAGCTGGCGGTGCGACCGCGTTCAGCGACAAAGGGAGTTTTTCCGAAGCGATTTTGAAGGCGCTGCAGCGTTGGAGGGATTTGGAGGGCTCTGGAGGATTTCGTCAGCAGCTGTAGGGCCAGCAATCCCGCGCGGGACAGCTAGGGCTGGTGATGGCCGATGGCTGATGGGCGATGGGCGATAAATGGTGGGGGATGGTGCTGGAACCTGCCGTTTGCCATTCTAGGAGTACCCCTCATGGCATCCTGCAGCAAGCTTCCTGGCTGGTGTTTCTGCTTCTTGTACCTGTACCAGTGGTACATGTAAATTCCTCTCTTTCGCATAGCATTTGAAGTACCTGTATTCAGGCAATTGGAGGCCTTCTCTCTCTGCCTTATTCCAGGTGTCGCTACCAATAATGGGGTTTAATCAAGCAACCCAGTCTGACTGACAGTGGAAGAGTCTCAGAAACGCCAATGCTAGGATGATGAAAGTTACATTCAAATACTTGAACGTCCAGCTTCCAACGCATTACCGTTAGCTGGCTTATTGGAAGGATGAAGCAAATAAAAAACGTAAGAGAGGCTGGCAGGCCGCCTCCTGCAACCAACAGCAGCAACTGCAGCAAGACACGCATAGCCAGTAGCACAGCTTTCACACATGCGTGTCTTTATTCACACTATCTGACCAGTCAAGGCCTCTGGCATTCCGTCAATAAGCCCATTCAACAGGGAGTGCCACACCACCGTTTGGCCTCCACACACGCTCTTCCCCACCACCACCTGCTGCTTCCACCAATCCAATCAACCCATGCCCCTCGTCGTAATCACGTCTCACTTTATTAGCACCAGCATGAAGAGTCCCATCAGTAACAACAGCAGCACCACCGTCGCCAGCAGCTGCTGGAGCAGTAGCGGCAGCGGCAGCAGCTGGTCTAGGGCGCCCCACAAGCACGTTATTGTGTGCATCAGCGTGCAGCCCGAACATGTGAACCAGCCGCGCAGGCAGGTACATGGCCGCGCCGCTCTGCCCCGCGCCGCATATCAGGTTCGCGGGTGCCATCGCGAAGCGCGCCGCCGCGAACTGATTCTGTACAGCCGCGGCTCGAGGGTGAAACACGCCAGTCCCGTGAACTCCCCCGTGCGCGGCCCCATGCGCTGCTCCATACGCTGCACCCGGACGCGCCGCCTCGTGCCCAATGGCGTGTCCAGTTCCCCGCCCGTGTATAGAAGGGGAAGAATCGGGCCCGCGAGCGGTAATAGGCGCTACTGCGAATCCAGGATTGATCGGGCAACACGGCTCAGGTAACGGCGGAAAGCCCGCACCTGCATGGGAGTTTCCGCAGTGACCGGCCAAAGGAAACGGGGCTGGACTGCCGTTTGGTATCGTGGGAAATTGCCAGTGCGCGTACTGCGGCACTTGTTGCTGCGGCGCGGGCGCCGTCGTTCCCGCAACTGCTGGCATCGTTGAGAAGGCAGCAGCAGGCAGAAGCAGGGGCGGCGGCGGCGGCGCGATGACATGCGGAGCTGCGACTGCGGAGAGCGGGGGCGACGGGTGCACTCGCAATGGGCGCGGAAATTGACATGTCGCATTCGCCACGGACGCCAGTGCCGGAGGGCCGAGAATGGGCGCACGTGTCGCCGTAGGAAGTGGGCCGAACGAGCAAGTCGATGGTGGAATCAAGGAACTTGGACCTGGATTGCACCCAGAGGAACACGCGGAGTCGCCGACTGTTTGACACAGGCGAAAATGACACGATGGGGGCGAGACGGAACGAGAAGAGCTTCCGCTGCTGCACCTGCTGTTCCTCCCGCTGAAGCTGCCAGCATGCATCACCTCCCAATAAATATTCTGAAGCGGAGGTAACGGGGACGGTGGGCGGTCGAGGTCTCCAGCGGAGAGGAATCCAGAGCAGGCAACGCGGCCCAGCGTGTCGAGATCTGACGGCTGGAGTTCGTCGCCGCGATCATCTGCGATGCACGAGCGCGCGACCCATTCAGCTACGGAATAAGCAGATGTTGCGTCCGGATGGCCTCGAGGTTCTCGTTCACTTTGCCATTTCGTCATGGCGGGTTTTGAAAGCGCTGTACCCCGCGATGGTACGAGCTGGCATGATGCAACATGGGATGGAGGAGAAGCGGGGCAACTTGACGGGAATGGAAAGTTGGAGACATGCGTTCGTGCTTGAAGTACGAGTTCGCTCGATGGGGGAGAGTTCCAAAATTCCGAAGGGGCATCCATAGCAGTTGAGTCTCAACGTCAATGCTGATATGACTTTTTCATTCACGAAAAGCGGCTTGATGAAAGCAGCTCTCGCTGTGTGATACACTATCGCGATTGCACAGTCGTAGTCCTGAAGCTGGGACGTCAAAAATGTTGTGCTGTGGTTGAAGAGCTGTTGTTTGAAATAGCTTGCGGGAGGAATCGGACGGAAAGTCCCCATGATCGGGGTATTTACTCAGAAGTTGCTTCATTTTTTCTGCTATAGTGTATTCCATCCTCCAAAACAAAATCACAGTACATACTGGTCACACCTATTCTACCTTATCTTCTATTTCTATTACGTTATCCAGAATCACCTAAAGCTCCCCGATCAGAAAGTATATACTCCCAGTACAATAAACAAATTCCGTTTACGGGCACCCATGAAGATGATTCGGCTCATTTTCAAAAATGCCACGCCAACACATGCACACAGTGGAAACAGCTCGAACCGCGGTTCCCCCGCATATGGAATTGGGTGCTCCTTGTTACATCCAAAGGCTCATTCATTGGCTCCGCGCACCCGCCCGCAGCTGCCGTGAGCTGCCTCACTTCAGACAACATGTTCACACGGACTGCCATTCGCCATTTCTGAAGTGGGACGGGTTGGCTGCAAGCTGTGGGACCGCGGCTCGCCAGGCTGCAGAGCGAGGCGCTTTTCATTTCAAACGAGGACATCGACATTGTGCTGTAAACCTGTCTAAATGCGGTTAAAAGGTATCACTGTATCTGGGCAAGCTCAGGATCATTAACAATTGTCCTTACAAGAGGACTTTGATCATCAAATGTATCCAATATTTTTAAAGCTGCGAACTACATACCTCGAGGGACAGGCCTTGGTTTATCACTTGAAAACAGGGTAGCAGACTCTCCAGAAGAAACGAACGATCGAGGCTGAAGGAGGGAGCGGGGTGGGCACATAACTTTCCGCTTCGTTGTTTGTCATGGATGCTGAATATTCCACCTTTCCGCGGATTTGTTCCCCCCAGAAAAACCCACACGCGAAATTGTTCCGCATCGCCAACTTTGTTTGAATTCCTCGCACAGGTGTTTGGGGAAAAAACACGCCTCGCCCTCAACTCATCGCGCACCAAAGGGTGTGCACTTAAATTACCCCCCCAAAACCCCCGTCTAGTTTGTAGACCGCAGCTTTAAAGCGACGGTGCACATTTGCCACCCAAAACCCGAAACCCTGGTGAACTGTTACTACGGAGGAAGAGTGTCTGCACGAAATCCGGGTTTTCCGCTAGCCAACACTTACGCGCTGGTAAGCCTGGTTTAGGGTCGCTGCAACTCTCGAAGGAGGAAGTACCTGACGTCGATGTGCTTCACTCTGCTCTCCAGTCGAGGCTCACGACACAGGAGAATCATCGCCTTGTTGTCAGCAAACAAGGTCGGTGCAGAGCTCGGCCGCTCACCAAGGTCAGTGAGCAAGAAGGTCAATCAGCGTAGCTCCTGTGCAGCAAGGGCTCCAGCGTAGATCTCGGCCTCTGCGGTAGATGTCGCAACAGAGGAGGACCGAGTAGACCTCCACGAAACAGCTCCAGAGCCCAGGCTGAAACAGTAACCCTGTGTAGACCTCTGAGTCTCAACGTCGTCGGCGTAGGAGGAGTCGCAGTGACCGGTGAGTACAACTGGCTGTGTCCCTCCAAGTACAAGCCCCATGTCTGATGTCGTGCCGAGGTACTTTGCCACCCTCTTAGCCGCCGCCTAGTGAACAGGACGGTGTCTCCCAGTCGCAACAAAGCGAGAAAGGATGCTAAGAGGGAAGGCGAGGTCCGGGCGAGTACACGTCATCAGGTACATGAGGCAGCCCACCAGCTCTGCGTAGGGACCACTGGGCTCGAACGGCTCGTCAGGAAAAGGCCCAGTGAGTCTGTGGTCTACAGCAAGAGGGGTGGGTGTAGGAGAAGAGTGCTGAAGCCCGAACCGCTGAAGGACCTGCTGCACCATGTGTGACTGAGTCAGAGTGATGGTGCGAGCGGCTCTGTCCCTGGAGATCTGCAGGCCAAGGTAGCGGCGCAGTTCCCCAAGGTCAGTGCAGGTGTGTCTCTTCTGCAGTTCGGACTTCACCTCCGCCAGTGCAACTGTGTCGGCTGTGGCAAAAACCAGGTCGTCAACGTAGACGAGAACAAAGAAAGGTGTGCGCCCACGACGAACAAACAGCGACGGGTCGGCGGAAGACGGCTCAAACCCGAGGTCGGAGAGATTCGAGCAGAGAGTGTCGTGCCACTCACGGGGTGCCTGGCGGAGACCGTAGACCGGTCGTCTGAGGCTCCACTGGGTCCCTGGCGGGAAAGTGCCAGTGAAGCCCGGAGGACGACGCAGCCAGATCTCCTCGTGTAGGCGGCCCTGGAGGAAGGCAGTGGAGAAGTCAAGAGAGTGTAGCTCGTAGTCTCTCTGCGCTGCTACGTGCAGTAACACCCGAAGAGTGGTCATCTTTGGGGTGGGCGCGAAGGTCTGAAAGAAGTCAACTCCCTCACGCTGACTGAACCCTCTAGCCACGTAGCGTGCCTTGAAGACTGGGGGAGATGTCGGCGGCTGCTTCACCTTGAAGATCCACATACCGTCAACGATGTTCGCCCCTGGGGGGGGAACCTCGTCAACGTAAGTGCCTGTGGACCTGTAGGAGGCCATCTCTGCGTCCATGGCAGCTCTCCACTTAGAGGCCCAAGGCCCTGACACTGCCTCAGCGTAAGTGCGAGGAGTAGGTATGTCAGGAGCGTCGGGGTCTCCCTCAGGAGCGAGGAGCATGGCACAGAGATGAGGCGAAGCAGCTGCCAGGAACTCTAGCTCAAATTGTCTGTCCTCTAGGACGTTACACCCAAGGGCAGACTCACCCCTGGCGGACAGAGGACGGACAGGAGGAGCGGCCACAACACGAGTGGCGTAGTCAAGGCGACGCGTAGCAGTAAAGTCAGTGACAGCGGCAGTGAGGACCGCGACGGAGGAAGGAGAGGCACGAGGGTCTGTAACAAGAGAGGCGAGAACACGAGAGAGAGTGGGGCGGTACGTGCGGTAGTAGTCATAGACCGGAGTGGACAGGGAGGCAGTGAGGGACGACTCAGGAGGATGAGGAAGAACAGACTCAGGAGGACGAGGAGGACTAGAACGAAACAAAGCGGTACGGAGGTCAGTGATAGGGGACGAGGGACGAGCACGAGGAGGACGAGAGGTCCAAGTGTGGGCGAGTGGAGGGGGAGACGGAGGAGACTGAGAACGAGGGAACACAGCCGGAGCTGAGTCCGGAGGAGGAAACGCAGGACCGAACACGGGAGGAGAGGAGGGGAGACCAAGGGCCCGAAGGCTAGAAACAGGGGCCGGAGGCTGCTCCAGCTGCTGCGGCCGCTGCTGGTGCTGCTGCTGCTGCTGCTGCTGCTCCCGCTGCAACTCGAACCTCTCACGCTCCACCCGCTGCTGAACCTCCGACCTCTCACGCTCCAAACGCTGCTGCTCCTCACGCTCAAGACGAAGAAGGGTCTGGTAACGAATCGGGTAGGGGTGAGGAGGAGGAGTGGTGTCAGGAGACGCAGCAGAAGAACCGGCTCCGTCCGCAGCAGTACCCGGCGGAGCACCCCCAGAGCGAGTACCTCCCGCGGTAGCACGACCAGCACCAGTAGGAGGCGCACCCACACCCCCAGTCGTGGTGCCTCCAGTGGCACCAGCACCAGCCCCAGACTCTCCAACTCCAGAAACACCACCAGCTCCAGCACCCTCAGAACGGGCAGCTGCGGCAGGTGCACGCTCAGCGCGAACGCCAACACCCCCAGAACGGGCTGCTCCTGTAGGTGCACGAACAGCTCCAACGCCAGCACCCCCAGAGCGAGCACCCCCAGAGCCCTCACCTCGAGCACCAACACCCTCAGAGTCCGCAGTGGCCGGTAAAGGAAGCGCCGGCGGCTGCTGCGGAGGCTGTGAGGACGACTGTGGGGAAGGAGGAGAGACCTGGGGGGGTACCGAGGGGGGGGGAGTAGCGTGGGACACACCAGACGGAGCGGGGACAGGGGGGGGTACCGGAGGAGCAGGGGCGGGAGGTGGAGGAGCTGGAGCCAGGAAGAGGGGAGGGGGGGGAACCGGGAGACCTCGACAGGGGTACCGGACGTAGTAGGGGACGGACTCGTCGAAACGGACGTCACGAGAGTCAAAGAACCGGTGGGAGGGAGGGTGGTAAAAGGTGAAGTCAGAGGAGCCCTCTGGGAAAC